AAAATGTGGGGTCTCCCCCCCCCCACACACTTTTATTCCAAGGTGGTATAGCCTGGGGAAAGGGAGGACGGTGCCATGTGATAGGCTTGCAAAGTCCCCCCGGGGGGCGGGGGACCCCCCGCCCCAGAGGCCCGTTTCCCGCCACCGCTGAATCGGGCCCCGGGGGGAACTCCACCCCGACGTGCACGTCACCAGGAAGTGACATGACCACGCCGGGCAGCTGGGGGCGGGGCCACGGTCATCCGAGGGAAAACTCTATGGTTTTCCCTCGGACGGTCGTGGCCCCGCCCCCAGTGTGCCCGGCGTGGTCGCGTCACTTCCTGGTGACGTGAATGCGGCGCGCGTGCGCACACTCCAGGATCGACCCAGGAGTCCCCCGCTCCAGGATGAGGTACGACTTGGCAACCCTACCATGTGATCATTTGGACTTTTTTTGGGGGGGTCGAAACGATCTTAAAGTGCTGCTGCCCTTGTAATTATTCCCCTCCCCCCTGTTTTGTTGTTTAAGTAGCGTGGGGCCAGAGAACCAAAGCAGAATCTGCATCGCCATTGAACCAGCCCAGCTTCTGAAGGGAGACGTTATGGTAGGTTGTACCTGAATTTCATTTATCTACGCACGCCATGGGCTTTTTCCTCTAACAGAAACACAAAGTGGCTTGCAACATCATTTCCCCCTCCTCCATTTTATGCTCACAACAACCCATTCAATAGGTTAGGCTGAGAGTGTGTGACTGGCCCAGGGTCACCCAGCGGTCTTCCGTGGCACAGGTGGGGTTTTCACCCTAGAACCTCCCAGGTCCTTATCCAGCACTCTGACTACTCGACCATCGATGGGTCTATCCATAGCCAGTAGAGTAGAGTAGTAAAATGTATTGTGTAGCCATTGGCCATTACAATCTAAAACAATATACAAATGATCACCAGTAGACATGACGGCGGCACATCATTCCATACGGAGGCCGGATACAATATGTGGAATGCGATAGGGTGGGGCTAAAAAAGGGCCCCTGGGCTGCGGCTTTGCCTGTGAAAACTGGTGCCCATTAAGGTGGAACAGCCAAACGGTGACCCCGTTCCAGCCAGACGACCATCGGCCTTGGCCAGCCACGCATCCTCTTTTTCTCCCCTCCATTCTTGGCTTGAGACTTTGGCTGTCTGCAAGGATACGCCTTTGAATGTCTGAGAGCTAGTCCCTGCAACCAACTGCTGCCACGCCTGGGAAGGAGGGACGGGACCCGAGGATGAGAGGGGGACAGGCAGCGAGAGAAGGGCGGCAACAGCCCCCGGCCCTTGAGTCTAGCCCAGGCGTTCTCACCTGCAATGAACTGGCCCACTGGGTTCAGGACCGGCCCAGGATGCATTACACTGCTACCCTCTTAGTGGCTTGGAAACCATGCGTGGCTCTTTGACATGCCCCAGAGCTGGACAGTTTTTGTTGGGGGGAGCACTGGATGGAGGGGGGCACTGGATGGAGGAGGGGCGGGGGCAGAAAGAAGAACGGAGGTGCCCAACAGCAAGGGGGAGTGCGCGTGCGCACGGCGCTACTTGCTCAGAATTAAGTCCACCAGGTTCCGCTGAACTTCCTCTCAATGAAAACAGGAGCCTACCACTAGGGCAACCCAGACTTACACGCAGGACGTAGTTCCTGGCAGCGCATAGTTCCCGGAAGAGGAGGAGCGGAACCAAGAGTGGCGGAGAGGAGGTTCAAGTGAAAGGGGCTGGGCAAGAAGAAGAAAAAGGAGAAGAGATTGGATTTATACCCCGCGCTTCACTACCCAAAGGTGTCTCAGAGCGGCTTACAAACTCCTTTTCCCTTCCCCTCCCCACAACAGACACCCTGTGAGGTAGGCAGGGCTGAGAGAGCTCTTGACAGAAACTGCTCTTTTCCAAGAACAGCTCTTATCAGAACTACGGCTTGCCCAAGGTCATCCAGCCAGGCGCAAGTGGAGGAGTGGGGAAGGTTGATGATTGGGTGGGGAGGAGACAGGTGGGAAATTCCTGGAAATATGAGGGATGGAGCTTGGAGAGGGGGGGGGTTTTAGGGGGGGGGGGGGGGGGGGATCGTCCGCCCCCCAAACTGGAAGAGTGTCTGGTTATGTGTATTTATAGAGCGCCTTCGCAGCCATCGCAGACTCCGTTCAAAGGAGGTGGTGTGGTTAAGCGTAATGGCTCCCTCCACCCTTTATGACTGGGGAACTCGGCAGGAGCACTCTCTTTCCTACCAGTCTGCTTGGAAGCTCTTGTCGACAAAAGCACTCCCACAGTCCCACCACAGCCAGGAGGAGGAGGAGTGGTGGAGCCCAGGCCGTGTTGAAAGGGACGCGTTCAGAAGACGTGGCCCTTTGAGCCTGCCCAGCTCTGGCCGAGTGAAGTGGCTGTGCGGGGCCGTGCGGTTGCAGGCCTTGCCGGGACTGGGAGTCGGAACTGGGGCAGGCTGGTTGGCTGTTTTGGGGCAGAGGAGGAGGAGGAGCGGTGGGGACGAGGGAAGGGAAGGCAGGCGGTGCGTCAGAAAAAATGGTGGCATGGGCTGTAAGATTCGGTGGGGGCACTGGGAATTTGGGAGGGGGCGTTGCCTCGCTCCCCCAAACTGGTTTTTGAGGATCACGAAACTGCGGAGGAAATCAGGCGAAGCCGCTGGTCAAATGTAGCCCCGCAGCCTCGGGTGTGAAATTGACAAATAGTGTCGGGGCAAACGGCGGCGCAACCGCGAGGCAGCTCTAGTGCGAAATCGCCCCCTGTCTTTGTAAGCTGCTGGGGAGGAAAGCGGGGTAAGAATGCTCGTGTATCGGGGTGGCATCTTCGCCGCCGCTCTTCTGCATCTCTCCTGAGCAAAGTGCCTTTCCCTGCAAAGGCAGCTCCCCATTTTGTGCCACCCATTTGGGCACTGACTGAAAAGGCTATCGATGCCTCGGCACGGGCGTCCCTCTTGGTGCCGCTGCCCTGCTGCTTGGCAAAATCTGTGAACTGGCTGGCGGCCCTCGTGCTGGCAAATTATTGCCCGTCGGCGATCGTTAAAGGGCGTTTTAAAAAGTGTATGCGAGAGACGGCTGGCAAAACAGGAATTTCTAAATTGTTCTCTCTGTCCAGGAAAATTCTGTTACACGAGCACACGGATCAGGCCGCGTGTGTGTGTTGTGTATGTGCTTCTGCTGCAGCTCTGTGGAACAGAAGCAGTAGCGAAAGAGCAGAATGTGGTATAGGAAGTAGGCCCCTGAGAGTCTTTGCTTCCTTTTTCTCTTAAACCACATTTCTAGTGCATAAATATCCAAGCCAAATGGATGGGCGCATGAACTCTCTAAGGGCCGGAGAATGGGGTTTTCTTGCCCTTCAGGAGCCATTGCCCCTCCATAGGACGAGCAAAACTAAAATAAGTTATTCAGCACGGCAAAATAAGACAGACCAAGTGTTGCTCTCTTTCCATAACATACGCAGCTTCAAAGCTTAACTTTTATTTCTGCCGGGTGCTGAATCCGTGCAGCCCTCTTTCTGGCGGCGCAGCCGTTGTAGTTCAGAGCCAGAGCTTGTGAGCATGCTAGTCGTAGTACACATTTCAGCTCTGCTGCTTGATTTACTGGGCACTGGTATCAAGGCAGAATTCCTGAGCCGGCGCGACGTCCTTTGTGGCGTATATTTTCATAACCAGTGCTAGCAGGTTCGAGGAGTGCCTTTCAGCCAACACGCCGGAGAGTTGCGTGCCACCGCAGCACACTCTTGGCACAGCGTTTGCTCGCAAATTAAAACTCTTCTTGTGATGACAGCGATTCACAACTGCCAAGCGGAGTAGCCAGTAGCAACAGGGTTGCCAGGTTCCGACTGGTGACTGGCGGGGGGAGGCTTGCTGGTGGCAGGGGGAGGCCAAGGCCCACAACGATGCTGCATCATCGACCTAGGCCTCCTGCTGCTGCTAAGAACCCGTGGCAGCCAGTTGGTCAGCAGTGGGGGATGGGGCTCTAGGGCAGGGGATCTCCCACCCCCGGGGGGGGGGGGCGGCAGCCCTAAGCGGCATGCAGCCCCCCTGTGGCTTTTTGCAGTGTGTAAGTCCTGTGCCTTAGACCCCTCTGCCTGTGATCAAGCAGACGGGCCTGCCTTGCAGGACCGTTGTTGGTGTTGCTGAACTGCTTGAGAAGGGCTTTCGGCAGCTCAAGAAGACCAAGAGGGAGCGTCACACGGGGCATGACGGCAGCATGTATTTGGATCGTGCTGCTGATGGGGTGACCCATTCCTCCCCTCCCTCTCGCGCCTGTCTGTTGTATGTGTGGATATTTTGTTTCCCTTTGAGCACTATAGCTTTGCTGTGTATCACTCAAGTGAGCAAGTGCTTACACAAGCCCTGTTGCACTCTGCTCTCCAGAGTTTTCCCAACACCCAGAGAGGCTTTTCTTTCTCTCCTGGGTCACCACTGTCACCACCTGACCCTTGTAAGGAATTGCCTGCTGCGAGGGTCGGGACTCCCTGCTTCCCTTCTAAGTTCTGAGGCTTTGCCTCTTTGTCTCCCACTGCCCAGCACCTGGTCACCGCGGTGACCATTTACTTCCTTGTGCACCCCTGGAGGAATAGCCGCTTGCCAGCTGCCTGCCTGCCCTCTGGCACTTCTTTTTAAATAGCATGCCCAAGACAGTGGAGGTCTGTGTGGTACAGAGAGCCACTACCAGCCTCATAAAGTATTTATTAAAAAGAAAATGTTCACAAGCATACGTTCAGCACAGCACCACATTGAGCAAGGGATTCAAAAGAAATGAGTAAAACACATTTTCTCTGTTCCTCTCTCTCAACATCAGATGTTAACATATAGGAGAGGCTCCTTAACTTAGAATGTTATAGATCTCTAAAGAGTTACCATTATGTTGCAGCTTTCTCCAGCTCTTCAGGCCAGCACATGGTAATGGCCACCTCGAATTCTGTCTGCTCTGATGGACTTGGCTCAGCTCCAAAGAGACTTTCCTCCTTGCTTTCAGGAGTTTTTCCTTCTCTCTTTTCCCCACCCACTAACCAGTTCAGGCCGGGTCAAAGAAGATATTCCTGGAAATCTCCAGGAGTTCTTTCCTGACGTGTCTCTAATATTTAATTCCTCCAAGCCTCTGTTCCCTGCTTGGAGCGGGGGGGGGGGGGGGTTTGACATTCCAAGTGGGT